TCTCACGACAAATGATGTCAAGATGTTGAAATGGCTTATATGAAAACTTGGAAAATATTAAACATCTTGTGGGATTGATAAGTATGGAGTTACACGATTTTGACAATTTTGCCCGATATATATATATATATATATATATATATATATATATATATATATATATATATATATATATATATATATATGTATGTATGCATGTATATATCTAAAGTCTCATTAAAGCAGTATAAATAAACTATCAACTAGTGAACATGGTTATCCCGGCGAACAGTGCAAACGTGACGGTGAATGCGAAATTCATGAACTGTTCAGGAGCTGATAAAGATAAGGACTATGACTTAGGATCTCGCTCGTCATAACTGGTGCCAGGAACAATTGAATTGAGATTGGATGAGTTGAGTCTACAAGAAATGTTGACATTGCCCAGACCGTAGCGCCAGTGACTGTGCAAGGATCTGGTGGACCCCTACCGAATCTATGATACAGGGCCCCCACTCTACTGATACATTCGACATCTTATTATAAAACGCAGATTGTGTGTGTGTGTGTGTGTGTGTGTGTGTGTGTGTGTGTGTGTGTGTGTCTGTACGTTTATATATTGGATCGGATTTCCTACATTTTTCAACTGATTTCAACAAAACTTCTCAGGACTGCGTAAAATTACCTTGCGGTGGTTCTGACAGCGCCAAAAATTGGAAAAACACAATTGTTTTTGCGCGAAATCAATTTGAAAACACGATTCTGTCGCCAGAATGAAAGGGGGACAACTCATATCGAGTTATACTTATAAAACCCAGGTTGTTTGTGTGTGTGTTTGTGTGTGTGTGTGTTCGTTTATATATGGGATCGGATTTCCTACATTTTTCAACCGATTTCAACAAAACTTCACTTTTTTTTTGGCAGGTAGTGTTTCTTATTGTCTTGCACACTTTTTTCTTTATTTTTACATTCAGAATGCTTTAAAAATTCCATTTACAAGACAATTGTTTATAATAAAATTCTATTCAATCAGTAGATTCATAACGATTGAAAACAATGTTTTTGTTTGAGTTTGACCAATTCGTAAAAACAACAAAAAAATCTAATTAAGACATGCGTGTCCGTCAACTTTAAACAATAATCTTTGTCAATTTTATTTTTCAGTCTTTATGATAGTCGATACTTGATCTATCTCTTACTGTTACATTCCCGGGCAACGCCGGGCTCTACTTCTTGTTATGGATAAAACATAGTGAATTTTATATAGTGTTTTTTTTTTTTCTAGACTAAGCATGGGCAAAACAAATTCACGGATTTGAACGAACGAAAAAAAGAACCCAGAATGACGTCAAAATCCGCAAAAGTTTTTTTTTTTTTTTAATCCTTTAATAATCAGTTGAGCTTAGTTTAATTTGTGATGTATATACATGTAAGTAGAATAAAGATAACATAGCAAGGGTCTCAAAGCACTATCCGGGGAGCCCCAATCAAGCTTGATCCATCCCCCGGTATGCACTGACTATGCGTTGCGCTGCTGGGGATGGCATGAATATTGAGAAAAGTGGCGAAAAAAATGAGGAAATTTGCTATTAATCAGTGTTGACCACTGGAGATCTTGTGTAAATGTGAAAATGCAGAATATATATATATATATATATATATATATATTAAAGAGAAGAGAGAAACCTCAAACGTTTTTTGTTATATTGTGGATTTTTAAAAATATATATTATACTTTATTTTCCATATTTTTGCTACACGTGTTTCGGTTTTGCAACCTTCATCAGGCAAAGAGTGGTTATTTCCACATATTATTAAAAGGAATTAATTTTCCTTAAGTTTACCGATGTTTAACCTTTGTCTTTTCTGTGTAGTAGTAACCGATATTTTTTTCTTGGACAGGTGGCAAAAGTGTTCTTCTGCTTAAGGGGTAATAAAACAATTAGGATTGGCCAGAGAAAGGGCGAAGTAAGGTGACCATCGTTCGAATCTTTTTATGACCCCTGTATGTTCTTAGATCTATCTCCGTTTTTTGTATTGTGTGTCCACGTGTGTTTTTCCTTATGTGTATGCATATCCCTTCTCCATATATATATATACTGTTTTATTACAAGGAATTAGTGGACCACACACACACACACACACACACACACATATATATCTATGGAGAACGAATATATATACACATACTGGCAAAAACAAACACAATAGACTACCCACAAGCACACACACAAAGCCTGCACAGCATAGGAAGTGTGTGTATGTGTGTGTATATATATATATATATATATATATATATATATATATATATATATATATAATAGATAGATACACCTAGTGAGCCAGACAAACCTACCTAGGTTTCACCTAAACGGATCGTCAAACTTTCCTGACGATCCGTTTAGGTGAAACCTAAACAGGTTTGTCTGGCTCACTAGGTGTATCTAGGTCTGCTCTACAGTTGTATTGAGCTCTTTTTGTTAGTTAGTTGTTACTCGTATCAGGGTTTTTTCTTTGGGCTTCAGACCTGCATCTGTGCGATTTTTTTGTCGGCAGAAGTTCATGTTTGTAGCTCTTTCTTTTTTTAAAACCTTTTTTCCCTCGAGATTGATTTGATTAGCAAATCAAAAATTCGAGGGTTTTTCGAAACGAGTCTATATTTATCTATATATATATATATATATATATATATATATATATATATATACACCAAGAGAATTTCGCTACATCAGACATGGCTCTCCTGGCCTCTGCTCTTAACTTGATCGGAGTTGTTAATACGTATACTTTGTCTCATCAATTAAGATGTTCTACATTAATTATCTCATTCAAAGCTACAGGTTTCTTTGTCAGTTGCCTGACCTTAACCCTTAATTCTGCGTCTCTTTTCATGAGCAGCTGTATGGAGGTAGCATGCTTACCGTGTGTGCAGCATGTTGCATTTTCTAAGTATGAGGTAGCCAAGGCGACTTTGAAGTTATATCTAAATACTTGGGAATATTTTCAATTGGAGACCGTCTAAGCGGACTCGTTAATCAACCTGAAGATACAGATGAACCACAATTTAATGGACTAATAGAAGGAGGGTCGTCCGTTAAAGCCATTTGTCTGTTAATTTGAAGCACTTTTTTCGTGGTCTAAAAAATCCCAGTACAGAACAAAATTATTATAAATATATTATATATGTATATGTATTTTATTTTTAAGTTACTATATAGTAACTTAAAATAAATTACACACACACACACACAGATTGGGAGATGTCATAATGAAGGGTTTGACAAAAAACAATATTGTATACTATACTAAAATTAGTATAACATGTTCGAGTGACGGTGTGTACACGACGAGCGCTCAAGTAAACAGCAGCTGTTTTACCCGGAACTACCAGTCTCTTTCTGTTGATAGCGCCAGTAAACAACAGCGGCCAATCCTGGAACTAACGGATTTTGCTGGCTATGCGCGGGCGTTTTAAGTCCCAGCCGGACACTACCATTTTTCTGCAGATTTTGTCCGTTAAATCCGGAATCCGTTGGTTTCGGGACCGTTATTCCGAGGTTTTACTCTAGTCTCCACCTGCATGGTTATTCACTGGCAGCATATCGCACACATTTGGCTCTGAAGCATTTCCCTGATATAGACTTATTAAACTTGGTGTAGTTATGGGTTTCGTATTCATTTTAACTCAGCGTCATTTTGGTGACGTGATACTCTCTCACTTGATGATGATGATGAACCTTGTATACTGTTCTCAGACTGGGTGTCAGTATATGTATATCAGGCTTTGTATTTTGTTTTACATTATATACATGGTCGCGTGGTTAACCAAGTGGTTAGAACATTCGCTTTCCAACCATAAGAACCAGGTTCGAATCTCATCAGGAAAGTGACTTCTTGATGAGGCGATCCCAGCATGCAGCAACTTTGAAAAGTGCCACGGATTGACCCCACTGCAGATTGATCCAAGCTTTGGGAGTGAAACTGAATTGACAGGCTCTGCTGAAACAAAACCTCAAGTCATTGTCGGTTTGTGCGTAATGGCATTGTTAAAACTGTTAATCATACCAGATAATGTGCTCTCTCACAGAAACTGTAACTAAGGTTGTGGCTAAACCACAGGTCGGCTCTGTGGGTGTTGAACAAGAATAAATGGGACAAAGGGATTGGCTAGTCGCCCTACTAGACAAGCATACTCAAATACGAGTGGTCAGTCACTACTATTGTCCTCATCACTGTTGTTATAACAACGTTTAATCTACATGTGGGGCGGGGGTAGATTGTTCCCGTTTCCACTACACATGTCTAGCGATGTCTAATCTAGTTCTTAGTTGAGTAATGCTCAGTTATTGCTCGCCCCGTTTCCACTCCTCCCAGGTCTTTTGAACAGTAGGGGTTTATCCCTTGTTTCCTATATATCAGCCAAAACTATGAATTTTGATTTACTATTGTTTTCCTTTCTCAAAAGAAGTAGATGGGTACACCTATTGTCTGGTACACACGTCACTCTGGTTTATTTGAACAGGAGTAGAGGTTTATCCTTTGTTTCCTGTTTTAGATTGAGTTTTTGGTTCCTTCTAAAGACTTCTCATTCACTTTCGCTCCCTTACGTCTTAGTGGCCTTATCGCCTTCCTCAGGCTGAATTGATTAAAAAGAAAATACACACTGTCCGACTCAGGGATTGAAGTAAAAAAAAAAGTCTATTAAAAGGCACTTTTGATTATTTACAGCTAATTTATTTTAAAAATGCACTGATTATTGTTTGCGTCACGTGGTAATAATTATAAGTAAAACGATGCATTAAAATAAGTAACCAAGTAATTGTTTTAAGTTCTCTGAATATCCGTGTTTAGTTTTTATATTTGTCGCTTGATTAAAATATCTTGTTTTTACTTATTCAGTTGTTTTTATTTTCAAATTTTGCACGTTTTTTTCTACATTTGATTTACTGCATGCTTATTTTATTATTGTCTTAATTTTCAATCTTTAACTATAAGTTAGGCAATTTCTACACTATTTTTAGACGTTTGTTCACGTCGCAAATTTGAAATTATCTGCACGCCTGAACATATCCACACACACGCAATCGTTCGTCTATCGTTCTATTTCTTCTCTTTCTCCCTCTCTCACTCCCTCTCTCTCCGCCCACATTCTCACTTTCTCGATTTTATACACATTTTTTTTCTCTCTCTTCGCTTTCTTTATTCATACTCTCGTTTTGTCTTTTCACACGCTAGATCTTTCTTATACTCTGTCTTTTTCACATTCTCTCTTTACACACGTTCATTTTACAGACGCCCTTTTTTCACTCACTTTCTTTACACACTCTCTCTCTTTTTACGTTTTCTCTCTTTTTCACATTCTCTCTCTATTTTTAACCTTCTCTCTTTCTTTTTTCACCATCTTTCTCTTCACGTTCTCTCTCTCACTCTCTCTCTCTCTCTCTCTTCACGTTCTCGATCTCTTTTCACTTGTTCTCTCTGTTTACAGACTCTTTAAACTCGTTCATTTTAGACGTCCTCTCTTTTCACTCCCCTTCTATACATATCTCTCACGTTTTCTCTCTCATTTCCACGTTATCTCTTCGCTCTCTCTTTGATTCTTTACTTTTTATTTCATTTCTCCCCCCCCTCTCTCTCTCTTTAGTTTCGCTGTCTTCCTTCATTTTCTCTCTACTTTTCATGTTCTCTTTCTCTTTTTCTCTCTGTAGACGTCTGCATGCCCACTCTTTCTCTCTCTCTCTCTTTGCCTTTCTTCTTCTTCTTCTCCCAGTCTTTATTTTCTTTCTGCTCTTGCAAATGAACGCAGTCACTCTCGAACGAAGATCTAGAACTGTGTCCTGAATTTATACCTATATACACTTCATCAGGCGCACTCAACTGTAATTTACCTATGAACAAGTGCAATATCCACATGTCTAGCTTCTATACCCATGACATTTGCACGGACAGACAAATATGACATTTTACACCCACAAATATATGTAAAGCAACTTTATTTAGAAACTTAAGTATGCCTACACTTATACATATTAAAAACGTCTTCGTTTTTGTGCCGTGTTCATTCAGTACGTGGATTATTAGGACTCTATATCTGTTGAAAAATAAGCATGGAATAATACAACACAAAATGTTTGTATTGAAACAAAGTGCCGTTTGGTATTCATTCAGTTGACTAAATCGTCGGATTAATTTCTTAATCTCTACTCTCCCCGTCTTCCGGTACCAACCCAATATGGTCCTATCATTAAATTAGGTGTAGCTCGAAACACTATTTGTAGCTCCCTTTACTACTCCCTGATCCCTGTTCTGCCTAGACATTTAAAAAAGCTCATTAAGTAGCCTACTCGCTGTTTCCCTCAGATTCCCTATGTGTGCCAAATTTTCCAAGCCCACTTTTCTCATTAAATTTCCCTTCTATAATGCGACCCTTAGTTTTGCTTAGAAATCGGAGTCAAATATTGCAGTGCTTGGCATCATTCTGGATATATTCTATACTAAATAAATGCTCTTCATTATTTTTGGCATAAAACCACTCAAAAATGATAAGAAAAACCACTTACCGTAAATTATCTGATATGAAGATTTAGATACCGTACTTTTGTTTGCGTTCATGCCTCACTACGGTAGCTCCTTTACTCTGGATCCGTCTCATATATAGCCTTTCTTTTCCTTTTTGTCGCTACATGATGAGCAAAACCTCGTCCACGTTTTAACCTCGTGAAAACATTAACCGCATATAGTGTGATCTCATAGGGCGGTGTAATGGTTAACAAGCTTGTCGAGCTAGAACAATTACGACTAAGTAGTGAGTTCGATCCTCACTGGGCGCCCCATACTTTCGGCCTTGTGCCACATCTAAACTACGCTTGGAAAATCACTATAGTGTGACCTACTATTTATTAGCGTAAAAAAGATCAGATAATAAAAACTCGTGTATATACGATAAAATAAATATCAGTATATTTAATTAGATTTTCTTTAATCGGGTATAAATCTACAAATTGTTCGTGATATTTGATGTTTCTCCACAGTAACCCATCCAAACAGCAAATCACGTTCTGATGTTGCTTACTGTCTGTGATCTCACGAGAACAGATGCTTTCACCGCGAATCAATTATAAGTCATCAGACGATCACCGAGAAGAATTTTCTCACAGGGTACAAAGATTCATTCGTAGGGGGATGGGGGCTTTTCATTCGACTTAAGCAAACCTGTTTTTATTCCCTTCGATTGTGAGTGGTTCATGTAAGGCTCACGCAAACATGGGCTCTTTTTGATGCACTAGTCCCCTTTGGACACTCTGGTCTGGGTACGATTTACCTCTGACACTCCCTCCCCCTCAAAGGATTTTGTCCCTAGAATAAAATTAATAAAAAAACGAATTCAAATCAGACTCTAACGGGTAACAACCGGTTAAATGGAATCGACAAACCGGGTTCAAATTCTGTATGAGGTAGTTATGTTTATTTCATATTACTACCTCTGGGAAAGACATGAACCTATCTCGAGCATTATATCATGATCGTGATTATTATATAAGATTATGATATAGATCATCAAACCATATAATAATTATCAATGTGTATTTATTTATTTCCTGTCCCATCTGTAATAGCAAGGGAAGTAAATCAACTTAAATTAGTAAATTTATGAATGATTACTTCCCATAATGGGCCGTTTTAATAATCTATACAAATAAAATATTTATCTGCATTTAGACAAAATAAATTCCTGGGCAAAATGAACCATTTAATTAATCAGTGCCTTTACTCTTACGTTTCTTAGATTACAGTCTTATTTGTTCAAGTCTTTCGTGTGATACATTTTTGTCTATTAAAGGATAATATTGCTTTAACTTGATCTTCAAATAGACTTTGTCGTAGCCGCCTTTGTTGTTCTGTTGCTAATCTGCTTCCAAAAGATATTTCCATTTCATTGTTATATTAGACACGTAACATTTTTTTAAGATGAAAAGGTATTGAGCAAAAAGCGATTTAATGCCAGGAGTAATCATTGAATCATAGATACCACTGCCAGGAATAATCATTGACTCATAGATACCATTGCCAGGAATAATCATTGACTCATATATACCATTGCCAGGTGTAATCATTGAATCATAAATGCCATTGCCAGGAGTAATCATTGAATCATAGATACCATTGAATACAGTTTCATTTATATTAAAAAATATAAATGGAACTGTTTAATTAAACGGTTCATTTGCCTCTATTTTAGTTGTGATAATTATTATATGGTTTGATGATCTATATCATAATCTTAAACGTGACAAATTTGAAAAACCTTCGTTTCAAGAATAGGAATCTGTTTTAATTTAAAGAGAAAAAAAAACAATTAAATTATTTTTTAAAAAATTCTCAAAATTTATTCCAGCTAACCGCTCGGAAATTTCGTAACTGTAGTCATTCTTATTTGCAAAATGGAGAATTTTTGTGATGCAAAATGGAGAATTTTTGCTATGCTCTGTTTGTTATATAAAAGGATAGTTTGGGGATAAAGTAAATGATATTCTGAATGGAGAAATTATTTTATTCAGTTATTTTAAATTAAAATACCTTCATAGTTATATATCAAAAGTGATACGTCGAAATACATTCAAGTCTTGGGACAACAGCTTTTTTCAAAGAACGAGATTAGAACTGTACTATCTTCCTTTCCAGCCACGTACACTTGTAAAATTTAATGTAATATAATTATTTTAAAAAAAATCCGTGTATGCGGAAAGCAATTTTATTGTACAAATTCTATAAACTTGACAAAATGAATGAAATGGTGCCTCTAATATAAAATGGGATACACATAGCTTCTTTATTAGTTGTGGTCGTTTCTTGTAAGGATTTGTTTCTATGCAAAAAGAAACTTAAATATTTGACAACCATCTTGTCTTGGCGACCTAGACCGTCAGCCGGCCGGCCTTTATATAGGTCAGCTGAATTTAATATGGCACTGGTGAGTATGGACGGACACTCCTTAACTAGGTCACCTGCATACTTTTACACTGGTTCTGTTCAGGTAAAACTGTACTTACCAATAACTTGCTCAAGTGTCCCCTTAAGATTGTACATTTGTGTTTTTCCTCTTTATTTTTTTTATAGACGAGACTGTATTCACGCCCATTTTATTTTAAGAAAAAAGAAATTGTTTGTTATCTGTCATATTCCAACTATATTATCACATAAATAAGATCATATATTCCAAATAAAATTTTATTAGGATTCTTCTTTGGTGACGTGTCCCTTCGGGACGTGGGTGATCATAAATCTCGACAACTTGAGCTTACGGGAATATCACGTAGAAACACCGGTTCTCGTCCGATCACCGAAGTTAAGCTATGCCGTGCTTGGTCACTACCTAGATGGGTGACAATTTGGGAGTACCAGGTGCTGTAAGTTTGGATGTACGTGTGGTGTAACGGATAACAGCTCTGTATGAAAAACCAGAGAAATTCTTCATGCCCGACTTACATTGTTCGCTATAAATATTAGCATGCAAGGAGATGGGTGTGTATAAAAAGTGGGGTGAGATCTTCTTCTATGTGTCGTGTCCCTTCAGAACATCTCCTACAAATACCTATCTACGACTATCTATCCATTGTGGCACTTAGCAGGTTTTTTTTTTCTCTCTTAGTAAAGGCTACCCGCTCCGCCATCGATTCGCACAAGCTGGTCATGTACGCGAACACGCATCAGACGAGCGAAAGATGCCTTCCAAAAGCCAAGCAAAGGGCTGAGAAAGAGAAAAATTTCGTTAGAAACAAAGAGAGCTGGATTATTTTGATATCCATCCTCTACTATGGTAGTGAATCATGGACAACCTTCCTACGGATGAGGAGAAAACTAGAAGCAGCAGAAATACCGTTCTACAGAAGGATGCTAATAATTCCAAGGACGTAGTGAGTAAGCAACAAGAAAGTCTTAAAGAAAATGACAACAGAAAGAACTGCATTTCCGGGATGAGGAGTTATCATTATTTACATTATTTATATTCGAACTATTGTCCTCATCTCTGTTATTGTTATCACAACGTTTTCGGCCGTTGTGCTCTCCTCTGATGTATATTGATCTGGGTAACCCACAGGCAATTCAGAACTGAACCCTTTATTTACTCGGGTCGACTGTTTCTCGTCCTACTGCCCATGTCTATGGATATATATGCTACCCAGATCGATATATGCCTGATGAAGGTCAGAATGCACAACGGTCAAAACACTATGATGACAATAACCGTATGACAATACTCCGAATGTAGATAATGAAAATAATTTACTATCTTGTTTTGGCCGTGGTAATGGATTTTATTCATCAGAAAGCAAAATAATAATAAAAATTTATATTCGGACTATTGTCCTCATCTTTGTTGTTGTTATCACAACATTTCGAGTCTTGTGCCCTCCGACCTTCCTCAGATGTATATTGATCTGGGTAACCCACAAGGAATTTTGAACTGAACCCTTTATTCGATCTACGAGGGTAGAGTGTTGTGCCTAGACATGAGCAGTGGAACGATAGCATTAAAGAAATAAACAACGTACCCCTTGAAAATGGGTAATGGATTAGCCGAAAGCGCTTGAGAAAATAATCATTACGGACAGTTTCTGCATTCACCTAGTCCTTCTAAAAAGAAAGCTGAATGAACATTAGAAAAACTTGTCTGTCACATTCAGTGAAAAATGTTTAAAGGAAAATATATATATGAGGAGGCACGGTGGAGCAGTGGATAGCGGCTTGGATTGAGGAATCGCAGAGCCGAGTTCGAATTCCAGTCGAATCCACTGCATTCACTTACGTGCTAATACCCTTGGGAAAGGTATGTATCCTCTTCATCTCCCTCCAGCTATGGGTAAAATAGCAGGACAGACTGGGTTCTATAGCCTTGGATGGCAACTGGTCTAGGAGAAGGACAACTCTGAATTCAAAACCTGCGGAGGGTCGTTTGGGAACCTTGTGGCATGCATTCGGTGCACCAGGTTTCTGTATTCGTCCCTCCAAAAAGTGTGGCTGGTCCTGCACAAGGCCTTCACCACTATAAACAAATCTCATGTGCCGGTGTCGGTTTCCTGGGGACTTATCGGCCTGACCCTCATACGTCGAACGCGACGGGAGAGTCGATTATTATATATATATATATATATATGGTTAGCTCTATCTCTGATATTGAGCGTTTTCTAATAAGTACCGCGCACATAATATATAAATAATTATACATACATATATATATATATATATATATATATATATAGTCAAACGTAATGAGCCAGACAAACCTACCCAGGTTTCACCTAAGCGGATCGTCAGCTTTCCCTGACGATCCGCTTAGGTGAAACCAGGTAGGTTTGTCTGGCTCCTAGGTTTATCTAGGTCTGCTCTACGGTTGTATTGAGCTCTTTTTACTTAGTTGTTTACTCGTGTCGGGCTTTTTTTTCTTTGGGCTTTGAACCTGAATCTGTACGATTTTTTTCGACAGACTTTCATGTTCCTGGCTCTTTTTTTTTTAAGACCTTTCTTTCCTTCGAGATTGATTTGATTATTGGCAAATCAAAAATTCGAAGGTTTTTCGAGACGAATATAGTTATCTATCTATCTATCTATCTATATATATATATATATATATATATATATTAATCTTGTTGGCCGTAAATTAATTAATCTTACTTTTTGGCAGTATTTAATGAAAGATGAAAACATATATATATGTTGTAGCATACCTACGGACGATAATGGATATGCCCCATTCCCATAAATGCAGTAGTGAATACTGTACGTGGTCTATAGTTGGAGATTTGTCTCCAGCTGTGCTGGTCAAGCTCACTGCCCCCAAGCATAGAGAATCCCCAGACGAGGCTACGCCGGAGGGCAGAGAGTCTCGTCTCCGGAAGCAGCTACCTGACCCCGTTTTATACGCGGTGTACGAGGAATTTTTGTTTGATTATTCTTCACGGTAAACTTCCCTAGGTTACAACAATAATATATATATATATATATATATATATATATATATATATACGTAAATTTCAGAAAAAAGTTATTCCCAAAAAAGTTTCGCTTGAAGATGGAACAGAGCTTATTTTAATTCAATTTAATTCAAATAATCATATTGAAGTTTTCGGCTCTTGTTTTGAAACATGAGACCTCTTATGTCGCGAGTTGGAATCATATTTTTAAATAAATAATTATATTTATGCTCTACTTTTGTATCGAGCACTATTTTTTAAAAATAATAACAAAAATATTAAGGAACTTTGGATTATTTACCCAACCAGTTCTTTCCTATTTTCTATATATTTTTACACACACACACACACATATATATATATATCAATTGGGCATCGAAACAAATATGCATTTTTGTAGTGGTAACATGTACGTTCGAATGTAATAACTTATAATAAATAACTATTTTTCCATCGTTCTTTTAAATTAATTCTATGAACGTTTGAATTTATATTCGTTGCGTTCTCTTTACAATTGTATATATAATAATAATAATAATAATAAATGCCAATATCAGTGTGTCACTGTGTCACACTTTTTCAACTTTACTCCTAGAGGCCGTAGCTCAACATATATCATTTTAGAATCAGGCCGATCCCGTGAGCAGATTAAAAACATTCCGGGCTGGATGCAGACCCGCAATGCAGACATTTTGGATTTCCAAATTTTCATTACTGTGATTGTTTACGGCGATTTTTTTACGTGATTTTTGTGACGAATGTTTTTGAACGATATCAATTTTTATAATTTAGAAATAAATTTGGGGATAATCGAAATTAATTGCGAAATCCAGCGAAACAGAATGTCGCCGCTGGGTGCTGACTTCAGTGGCCACTTTTATATTTACATACGTTTTGTCCCTAATATCGAAAACTGTAACCCATAAAATAGCATACCTCAAAACTATATATATATATATATATATATATATATATATATATATATATATATATATATATATATATATATATGTGTTTGGTAATCCGTATGGATAATTCCAGGGAGGATATATTACAGAGAGCTCAATGTAAAAACAGAGAACCGAATTTCGATTTTAAGAAAATAAGTTATAATCACCATGAACCCTTAAAGTTTTTTTTTTTTTTTTAAGCATTTCACCCCAAGCAAGGCGGGAAGCCACTAGGACGCAAGGGGTTACAGAAAATAGCAAGATCAGATAGGAGTGATAGAAGAAAGGATGAGGGTAGTAGATAGATTAAGGCAACTGGAGATGTCGATTGACATTACACTTGAATAGCTGGAGATTATAGCTCACAGGGAAACAGGAGAAGGGAAGGGAGTTCCACAGGCGAGAGATGCGAGACATGAAGCTATTAGAGTAGAAGAGACGGCTACATTTAGGAGTTTCGACAGTGAAGGAGTGAGAGCGGGATGCCCATGACGTCTGGGAACCAGCGAATGCAGCTCCTCGGAGCAATTTCCATGAAAGTATTTGTAGAACAGACAGAGGGAGGCGACGGCGCATCTGTGAGAAAGTGACTGTAGACGAGACGCCAAGGCAGGGCCAACCACATTGCATATCCGCCTCTGGAGCCTATCAAGAACCCCGAGGCAAACAGAAGGGGAGAAAAACTTCCTAGCGCGGCTAAGGGAGCCAACTTTCCTCGCAGTGGATTCTCCTCCAGTTCCTATCCCACGAACGCAGGTGTTCCTCAAGGCTCCATCCTAGGCCCCACTCTATTCCTTATCTACATAAATGACGTTCCTGACGCCGTTTGTCTGTTTCTTAATATATATATATATATATATATATATATATATATATATATATAGGGAGAGAGAGAGATGGTTAAAAGATAAATTTTTATATGCCAGAACAATGTTAGGGAAATCAATGACAAAGTGGAAATTATTTTTTCGTGTGACGCGTTTCATCCTTAACTTTAGTCCAATGAACTCCTAAGGGATGAAACCTGTCCGAAGAAAAAAATTTGGCCACTTGGCTACACACACACATGCGCGTGCGCACACACACACATGCGCGCGCACGTATTTAGTTAGTATTTGCAGTAGAAGTATCCGTCGTGTGGTCTTAAAATCATTACTTTCGACGTCAGTGTATCTAATTATCAATGTTAATTGTTTTCGACGCTTTCTTAAAACCAAAACCAGCAAGTATAAGTGTGTGTTTAAAATGGCAGGACGTTTTCCAATGCATTTTTCTTCCATCCAATGAATAACTTATTCCGTTAATCAGAAGGAGAAAACTATATTTTGTTCTGCAATCTTTTATCGGCATATTTAATGACCAAAATGCGGAATACAGATTTTGTATATACCTTACTCAACCTTGAATGAAACGACACACAGTTCGTATGACACGAAATTGAAGTGATAGCCAAATTAGTCAAACAGATGCTATTTAATTCTGTCAAGAA